ACAGAGACACGTCCACATTTGTCGCTTTCTTAGTTTATAAACAGCGCTCGTGTCAAAGCTCAGAACCTCCAGAATTCCCTCCCTGTGATGCAAAGGCTGCACTAGCACTGACTTGTGTTTGGCTGCAAGTGCTGGGGTTTAAAGGTTGTATGGAGGATTTTTTTTTTAGGTTCAACTTGTCATTGAAAGTTTAAAATAACATTACAGAGACGCAGCAGCCTTGGAATTATGATGACCAAAAAAAAAAGAATGAACATCTATCAACTGTGGACGTAGTGAGTCCAGACAAACATCAGCCAATAGATAACGAGGCTCCCTCTTTATCTATTGGCTGTTAGGTTGTCAATCAAACTCCTTACATTTCTAGTGTAACTGACTCTCGGCGCGCGGGGATGACGTGGTTTATGCGGCGGTTCTTAGAGGCTTTTTTTAAACTGTCGCTTCCTCGCAGTTCGCACAAAGTTTGTTGAGATGTCGGACGAGAATCCACGACCAGTTCACCACAAAAGAAAGTCGGTTTTTCGAGGTCGTCGAAAGAAGAAGAGAAGGAGAAAAGGAGCGAAGACAAACTGAGGTGATTCTTGGAGATTCCTTCCAGCGACGGCGCGACTGAAGCAGACGAAGGGTCTAAAAACTGGCGCGTCGTTGTTAAATTATTTCAACAGTGATTCTGAACGTGCACTGGCTGTAAACAAGTGTGATTTCTAGAGTAAAGAGGCGGGAGGAGGAGATGTTTCTACTGAGGAGCTGTGGAGGAGGAAGGTGGAGTCACACAAGCACAACATTTGACAAAGGACTGTCGCTGTATTTTTCTTCCCTGAAAAAATCCTCTATACAACCTTTAAGTAGAGACCGTTCAGATTAGAGAGACGCATTTTAGGTTTAAAACAACTGGATTTCAGCTTTGGAACTGGCAACACAAATGAGTCTCATGTGAGGCTCATTCTGCTTTCTGACTGAAGAATCATCTGGAACCAAGACACCAGATTATAACAAATCAATGTTTTTGTAATTAAGAACTGAATAAGAATAAGAAATATAAGAATACATTAGCATAAGAATGATTTGTAATGAAACTTATAAGACATATTTACTAAAAAGAGAAAAAAAAAACTATTTTCTTCATTATTTGTCTCCAAAATTAAAATGAAAAAATGGATAACGATTTGTTTTTTCAGTTTTCTATTTTGTGTTTAAATGAATAATGGAAAAAACTGATACTATTTACCATTTCTGTGACTTAAACTGCAATGCCGGACTGAACCAGAACTGAACCAGGACTAAATTAAAAGTGAACCAGAACTAAAACCAGGACTAAACCGGTCTCAGTCCTCGTCTCAGTCTTGGCCTGAGTCTCGGTCTGGTCCTGGTCTCAGTCCTGGTCTCAGTCTTGGTCTCAGTCACAATCTGGTCCTGGTCTCAGTCCTGGTCTCAGTCCTGGTCTCAGTCCTGGTCTGATCTCCGTCTCAGTCCCGGTCTTGACCAGGTCTGGTCCCAGGACTGACCAGGTCTGACACTGAAACCAAACCAGGACCTAACTGGGACTGACTCAGTCTGGTCCCGGTTTGGTCCCAGGTCTGGTCCCGGTCTTAGGCCCAGTTTGGTCCCAGTCTGGTCCTGGTCCCGGTCTCAGTCCCAGTCAGGTCCTGGTTTGGTCCCAGTCTCAGTCCTGGTCTCAGTCCTGGTCTCAGTCCCAGTCTGGTCTTGATCTCAGTCCTGGTTTAGTCCTGTTTTAGTCCTGGTTTAGACTTGGTTTAGTCCTGGTTCAGGTCTGGTTCAGTCCTGGTTTAGTCCTGGTTTAGACCTGGTTTAGACCTGGTTCAGTCCTGGTTTAGTCCTGGTTTAGACTTGGTTTAGTCCTGGTTCAGGTCTGGTTCAGTCCCATTTAGTCCTGTTTTTTCCCCATTATTCATTTAAAACAGATCGTTATCTGCTTTTTTATTTTGGTTATGGAGACAAAAAATGAAAAAAAGTTTTCTTAGTTTTGGTTTTATTTTGAAAAACAAATGAACGAATGACACACAGGATTCTTAAAGCTTCACTTTTGCATACTAAGACCTTTAAATCAACTTCACATTTGTTTAATTTCTTCAACACAAGCACAAAAAGCTGAAATATTACAACATAAAGTACAGAAAGGAGACAAAATCTGCACAAATCCCCAAACGAGCGCTAAAAATAACACAACACCGCATATACACGGAACAATAAAACATATAAAACACATTAATACACACGCGCACCTTTCCCCCGCTCGACCTAAAGCGTCTAATTTAGTCATACCAGGGCCTGTCCTTTAATTCAACATCACGTCGAGGTCTGGGGGGTATTCCTCGAACCATCTCCGCGCTCATTACAGCCTCTATCCTGGGGGCCATTTAAAGCGGCTCCATCAGAGGCTCCAGGGGCCCGAGGTGTTGATGAGAGAGAGAGAAAGGGAAAGAGAAAGAGAGAAAGAGAGAGATTGGGGGTTGGGGGGTAGATTCCTTCAGGTAGTGAGAATTAATTAAGGACGGTCCGGACCAGCGCGGAGTCTCGGGGGTAAGAGGAGAGACGAGAGCCGAGAGCACCTCAGCAGATATTTCAGCCCAAAGAATATGGATGACTTTATTATGACTGGAGAACACGCAGCGGGGACGGGTCGTAGTCATTTGAGAGCTTTAATTCTGAATAAAAATATATTACCGTATTTTTCGGACTATAAGACGCTCCGGAGAATAAGTCGCACCAGCCAAAAAATGCGTAATGAAGAAAAAAACACATATAAGTCGCACTTTTTGGGGGGAAACCGAGACAAGGAACCGACATTTCATCTTAAAAGTCAAGTTCTAGTAAAAACAATAGAAGAGAGAACAACAGACTGTTAACGTCACATATGAACAGTTCTTCAGATAAACTACAGCATAAACAACAGAACAGAACAAGTTTAACAAACTCTCCATCTCACTCCAAATCACTAAATCCATTCAATTCTTCATCCTCGGTGTCACTTCTGAGCAACTCGGCCTCGACCTCCGGAGGTAAACAGAGCGACGCTTCTCTTCTGTGTCGCTGTCGTCAGACTCAGCATCAGTTCCAGTTAGAATTATTCCGGACTTTCTGAATCCCGACAGGATGGTTTCGGTGTCACTTGAAGTTCATGCTTTGTCGATTCATCCAGTGACTTCCAGGAAAGTTGCTTGATGAACCCTCCTGGTTGCCATGAAGATGTGTTCTCCATTCCTGCTTTCCACCAGTCCTCACTCCAAACTTTCTTCCTGCTGCTCGATTAGCGTTTTCGGCTGAATATTTCACGACTTGCAGCAGGACAGAGGCTCTTTCTGCAGGAGACATGCTCAGTAGAGTGAAGTGACAGTGGTGCAGGAGGAACAGGAGCAGCAGATACTCACACACAAGACTAGAGCCTCTCCCGCTTCAGTGTGAACATTTTAACATGTAAGTTGCATCAGAGTATAAATCTCAGGAATCAAACCATGAAAAAAAGTATGACTTATAGTCCGAAAAATACAGTAATTCTTTAAAAAGACCATGTAAACACTTAATTCCTGAAAATTATTATTCAGAATTGAACTTATTTCCGAAGTAAGTGGGTGGTTTGTTCCATTCAAACTCAAATTCACAGAGGCCGAAATTAAAAACTGGGACTAAGTCATGGGCCAAACTAAATATTTATTGAAAAAATTCCACGACATCTGCATGTTTTCTCTTCTTTCAAGATATGTAATGTTAAACTTTTCCTTATTAAAATAAATGTTTAATAATAATTTTGCTTAAACATTGAATCCAGAACAAGCATGATATAAAATAATAACAACATTTTAAATAAATAATGTTTCTCAGCCAGCTCTAATACATATTTGATTTGATCTCATGGGCCAAATATAATTATATCATGGGCCAAATTTAGCCCCTGGGCCTGAGTTTGACATGTCTGATGTAGGTCATTTGCAACCTTCAGAAAGTTACCTACTGTACCTTTAATATAATGTTCAATAACTTACATAATTGTTCATATATAATTGATTCCTTGGTACATTCCCAGATACAAGAAAAAACACTAGGCCCTTTAATAGCCTTTTTTTTGTTATGTTTTAATTTCAGCACTATTCTAATCATAAATAATTTGGGTATTTTTAATTACTTTTATCGACAGGAGAGAGAAGAAAAGACTAAATTAAGAATACACACTTTATCTAATTTCATTCCATAGGCTCAGTGCCAGTTTTACTTTGTGTCATAATTAGAGTGACCAGATTTTCAAAAATAAAAAAGTGGGACGTCCCTGGTTTGGGGCGTTTGATATAAATAAAACTGTGAAACGAGTGTGTAATTAAGGCACTAATGCACTAATGTGAGTCAGTATAGTCACATTTTCTTCATGTTTTGTTAGTTTTTAAGGAGCTTTTCTGTATTTTAGTTAAAGAAATGTCAATTTATGCCTCTCTTTGCTATTAGTAGAGATCAGATTGGTCAAAAATAGGGACATTTGGGACATTTCTTGTATAAAACTGGGACAAATACATAAAAATCCCGTATGAATGTGAAATAAACAGCAAATTACAGCCTAATTGTTGCTACAAACTGTTTCTTTAGTATTTATGATCATATATTTCTATAGTTTATAAGATATGTTGGTTCTTATATCGCAAAATCACGTGATAATCCAACTTTTCCAAACTGTTTTCTCTCTTATTTATCACACTTTTTTTTTAAGCCAGTTTAGTTTTTATTAGTTTGCATTTTAATTTAATTTAATTTAATTTAATTTAATTTTAATTTAATTTAATTTATTTATTTAATTTTAATTTTTTTTATTCTTATTTTATTTTTATTTTATGTTATGTTTATGTTATTTTATTATTATTTTTTTTTAATCAGTTCAGCCTCCTTCGTTCTACCCTGTTCTCTCTCCCCTCCCGCTGCCAGCCAATCAGCATCGCGTATCTTCACTCCTTCCGCGTTATCAGCCAATCAGAGCGCTCCTTTTACCCAAGCCAGCCTTCCTTCAACTTCCTAGCGGGAAGAGAGGAGCAGTCCACCTCGGAGGTAAACAAACGCTGTTTTTTCACTTATTTCCAAATCGGCTGCGTCATAAACAATCTCACCGAACTTTTATCACACGGGAGACACTATAGATCGTGTTTTTGCCCGCGGATTTGTTTTAAATTAGTGTAAAAATCGCTAAATGCTAACGAAAATCTAGCTGCGTAGGAGTTGTTTTTGACAGCTGGTGTTTAGAGTTTTCCACGTGCGGTACAAATGAGCAGTGTTGGGAAGGTGACTTTTAAAATGTATTCCCCTGTTCTCCTGTTAAATCCTGATTTAGACCTGTTTTAGACCTGGTTTAGTCTCGGTTTAGTCCTGGTTTAGACCTGGGTTTAGTCTTGGTTTAGACCTGGTTTGGACCTGGGTTTAGACCTGGTTTAGTCCTGGTTTAGTCCTGGTTTAGACCTGGTTTAGTCCTGGTTTAGACCTGGTTTGGACCTGGTTTTAGACCTGGTTTATACCTGGTTTAGTGGTTTAGACCTGGTTTATACCTGGTTTACTGGTTTACCTGTTTAGTCTTGGTTTAGACCTGGTTTAGTCTTGGTTTAGACCTGGTTTATACCTGGTTTAGTCTTGGTTTAGACCTGGTTTAGTCTTGGTTTAGACCTGGTTTATACCTGGTTTAGTCTTGGTTTAGACCTGGTTTAGTCTTGGTTTAGACCTGGTTTATACCTGGTTTAGTCCTGGTTTAGACCTGGTTTATACCTGGTTTAGTCCTGGTTTTAGTCCTGGTTTAGACCTGGTTTAGTTTAAAATCCATTTATTTCAACGAAGTAACTGTAATCCAATTACCACTCATTGAAACAGTAACTGTAACTGAATACAGTTACTCATAATTTGTACTCTGATTACGTAACTCCGGTACATGTAATCTGTTACTCCCCAACACTGGTAATGTGAATTATTTTTTTGTGTGCAGGTCCGGATACAGCAGATTTGTGCAAAAATGAAGATCTCCAGAGCTGAATATAAAGAAATCGCGAAGTGGACAGAGCAGCTGAGACCCACGCGTCAGTGCATGAAGATGCTCAAAGAGAAATTCCCCAAGTAAGACGAATATCACTGTACTGTTAAAGATACACTACGGAACGTCTCATAAATATAGTCTATGGGTTGTGTGTAGATAGTCCTGTTTGTAAAATGCAGTAAAATACAAGAGGAGTAATTATTCATGTAGAAATAACTTAGTTGTACTGATACATTTTAAAAGCAAACTTCTCAAATGTTCATTATTTAGATAAGATAAGATAATTCTTTATTGCAGGGGTGTCAAACTCATTTTGTTTCAGGGGCTGTCTCCAACCTACTTTGATCCCAAAGGGGCCGGATCAGAAAACTCCTGGCATATATATCCCAAAAATAACAATAAGTTCAAATATTTGTGCAGAGAAACGCAAATCTATTACAGAAATCTTTTTTAATTGATGAACTCTTTCTTTTACAAAATATTATAATATTATGAACAACCTGAAACTTAAAGAAAAATGTAATTTCAACACAATGTTTTAACATTAACTTGTATGCAAATAGGAATAAGTCCATTTTTGTTGGAGAATCCTGCACTCGGCTCCACTTTTCTCATGTTGGACATTTTTCTGATGAGGGTGTCACGATCAGCAGTCAAAACGATCGTCCTTTAAGAGCGTTTGGAAAGAGACAAGTCTTCATTTGTGCTGCTCTGGTGGGAGGGGCCACGTACAGAGACGCTGGAGACGCTGCTGTGATAAACACCACAGAAAATTAACAAGATTTTAATAGAAAATATAATAAAAATATTTTAGTAGAAAATCAACCGAGAGCCAGATTAAAGGTCTTGGAGGGCCGGATCTGGTCCTCGGGCCGTATGTTTGACGCCTGTGCTTTATTGTCTCCCATGGGAGAAATTTGTCTTGGGACAGGGGGCTTTATCAAAACAAAAAAAACAAAAAACAAAAACAAGACAACATAACATAAAGCACCGCATAAACAAACACCATAGAACAAAACTAGATACGAGACCAAGTATGAGCACGAGTAATGCACCAACAGGACCTTTAAATTCTTAACAGGCAAACCCTATGCATTCTTGTATTCTATTAATAATTGCACATTCCCTAAACCTATGTGCAGTTTTGATTGCACATTCCCCTTTTGAGCCTATGTGCATTTAAGGTTTATCTGCAGCCATATTTATATCTAAAAATATAAGCACAAAACAATGCAACTTAACTGAACTTTTTTGTTTTTACTATGTTGTGTCATTGCAGTGATAGGTTACTTCAGACATGTCAAACAATGTCAAATTTGGCCTGCGAGATCAAATCAAATGCATATTAGAGCTGCTCGCCGGCTACAGATACACCACGGAGACATTATTTACTTAAAATTTTGTTATTATTTTATGTTATACTTGTTCTGGATTCAGTGTTTAAGCAAACCTATTATTAAACATTTATTTTAATAAGAAAAAGTTTAACATTACATATCTCGAAAGAAGAGAAAACATGCAGATGTTGTTCAAATTTTTCAATAAATGTTTAGTTTGGCCCACGACTTAGTCCTAGATTTTAATTTTGGCCTCTGTGAATTTGAGTTTGACACCCCTGGGATACTTCAATAAAAATATTACTCAAGTTATTGTGCTCTTACTTAAGTAAAAGTTACTCTTCCCACTTTGACTAAGTGAGAAAGCTGAGTTGAACATTTGTGTTTCTTGTACCATTCCCCCAGTTACAATTTAGTTTTGATCTACCTTTTATTGTATTGTTCAGATAAAATACCAAATTTTATGCACTTGTGACTAGAGTAATATAAATTTTAAGTAACTGTCCTCTTACTCAAGTAATATTTTTTGCTACTCTGCCCACCTCTGGTCATGAGTTAAATCCTTTAGAATACATAATCTTACTTTTATTCTGTTAGTTGTTGTTTAAATACTCTTATTTTCTCTATAACAGCAGATAAACACTTCTATTTATCTCTATTTTTATCTTTTATAACATTTAGGTTCATAATCTCGTAGTGTTTGAAAAGCTGTGATGTCATTTGAAATCCCAAGAACAGAGTTTTCAGCTCTTGTTGTGTTTAATCATATCCACTTCACCGCTTTCATTTTCATTCTCTTCTAACACATTTGCCGTCTTGCCCGTGTTTGGTATCGTATTGTATATCTCAGACGTGCAAATATATAAACCCCTGAACGCTGCATTTTTGTGTCTATTCAAATATATTTAGAGAAATTATTGGTATTTTTCAGGTGATAGAAGGTGCTGATGTCCTTCTGTTGGAGTATTGTATTGATGATATTTTAACAAATCCACAAATGTTTTTGCTGATTCAGTAATAATCACATGGTTTACTTTCTTACTATATGTTGTAGTGGTGGTGGTAGTAGTAGTAGTAGTAGTAGTAGTAGTAGTAGTAGTAGTAGTAGTAGTAGTGGTAGTAGTAGTAGTAGTAGTAGTAGTAGTAGTAGTAGTAGTAGTAGTAGTAGTAGTAGTGTAGTAGTAGTAGTAGTAGTAGTAGTAGTAGTAGTAGTAGTAGTAGTAGTGGTAGTAGTAGTAGTAGTAGTAGTAGTAGTAGTAGTAGTAGTAGTAGTAGTAGTAGTAGTAGTAGTAGTAGTAGTAGTAGTAGTGTGTAGTGTAGTAGTAGTAGTAGTAGTAGTAGTAGTAGTAGTAGTAGTAGTAGTAGTAGTAGTAGTAGTAGTAGTAGTAGTAGTAGTAGTGGTAGTAGTGTGTAGTGTAGTAGTAGTAGTAGTAGTAGTAGTAGTAGTAGTAGTAGTAGTAGTGTAGTAGTAGTAGTAGTAGTAGTGTAGTAGTAGTAGGTAGTAGTAGTAGTAGTAGTAGTAGTAGTGGTAGTGGTAGTAGTGTAGTAGTAGTAGTAGTAGTAGTAGTAGTAGTAGTAGTAGTAGTGTAGTAGTGTAGTAGTAGTAGTAGTAGTAGTAGTAGTAGTAGTAGTAGTAGTAGTAGTGGTAGTGGTAGTAGTAGTAGTAGTAGTAGTAGTAGTAGTAGTAGTAGTGGTAGTAGTAGTAGTAGTAGTAGTAGTAGTAGTAGTAGTAGTAGTAGTGGTAGGTAGTAGAGTAGTAGTGTAGTAGTAGTAGTGTAGTAGTAGTAGTAGTAGGTAGTAGTAGTAGTAGTAGTAGTAGTAGTAGTAGTAGTAGTAGTAGTAGTAGTAGTAGTAGTAGTAGTAGTAGTAGTAGTAGTAGTAGTAGTAGTAGTAGTAGTAGTGTAGTAGTAGTAGTAGTAGTAGTAGTAGTAGTAGTAGTAGTAGTAGTAGTAGTAGTAGTAGTGTAGTAGTAGTAGTAGTAGTAGTAGTAGTAGTAGTAGTAGTAGTGTCATAATGTAGATTTTATTTCCCTCTCAACTCTAGCAGCTTTTTATAATCTAATAATATAAACCATTGGAAATCATGACTGCGTTATATTAAAGATGCACTATGTAACTTTTCTGGTGGAACCTCTGCCACCTGCTTGTGTCCATGGAGATGTTAACGCTTTGCCTTGAATGTTCCGCAGTATGGGATTAGATTGATCAGACCAAGTTACAGGTCAGATCTATGGCGAGGCGACCCCACTAACAATAAGAATGAGTGTTTTTCAAGGTATATCTTTCGCCTTAAACCACTTGTAATTGAATAAATGTTAAGTAGGTTGATTATTTTTATTTGATTTGATTTTATATCTATTTATTTGTTTGTTTTGTTAGGGACAGTGCATATTAAAGGTCCTATTTTTACGCAAAATTTGAGTCTTGTGAGCTTTAAGCCAGGTTAGAACTTTAGGAAACATCTGTATTTATAATGTAAAGATGCTCAATTCTAGCATAGAAGACAACACAACACAGAACAATAAAAGGCCAGAGTTAAAAAGTGTTGTACAAATCAATAAAAATGGAAACTAACTGTAATAATCTGCGTTTTTTTGCGACTCTGCATTGCGATTATATCATATTTTTAATAACAGGATGCTGGTCCAAGCTCACATTTTTGCTGCATCCAGAAGATTTGTAAAAAATAATGAAATCTGAACTGACAAACGAACACAAGAATTACATTTCAGAACATTTTTGTAAAGATCTGAACTACAGGGTTTGCAGTTTTTATGTAGAATAAGACCGAGAATTTGTTGTTTTGTGAAGGAAATTACGGTGTTTGAAAAATTGCAGCCTTTGCGGTTGTAATTTCGATTTCATTTAGATTCATCTTGCAGCCCTACAGGTGGCGTACCCTTCCCCATTACTGTTGCGTAGTTGACCTTTAATTATCTCTGGGGGAGTTAATTGTATCGATGTTTTACTTTAGTCAATGCACTTTCTGACCACACATTCTGAACGGAAAGGTTAAAGCAGCACCTAATGTTGCAAAATCCACTTTTTAACCATGTTATAGTTTGTTTTCCCTTTTCATTTACCCTCTCGAAGTTGTATTTGGAGTGGTTTGTGCTAGGGATGGGCATGATTAATCGATAATTGATCATTAACAATTTGATCGATTATGTTAATTTTAATCGATAAACCGAATGTAGGTTGCTGTGTGTAGCGTGACCAAACAGGGGTCCATACATGTGTCTCTGCATCAGAAGGAGCGAGACACACAAACAGTCGGTCAGTCTGCAACGTACCGAAGCACAGATGCGTATTTAACGATGATTTGTACAACACATTCCACGCTTTCCGTTGCGTTCGGGACCAGTGTGAGTCCATGTGCACAGTGTATAAAGCAGCACATATGTTTCGGTGTCCAGTGGAAAAAAGCTTTACCAGGTGAGAGTCGCGCAATGTCGATGATGGGTCCCCATCTCCCTCCCCCCGTACGGTGTCCTGGTTTTGACAAATGCAAATCTGGTCACACTAACCTGTATTCACCTGAGTCGTGTCTTTTAATCTGACAGAAGTTGAACCGCATCAGCGACACAAGAGCTGTAGTTTTATCTTCGATTAGTTTATGCAAATTAGCGATGCGGTTTTAAGTTTTGTTTCTATGTGAGTTGCGCAAAACTGTGTTAAACACATTATAATGTCAAACGGGCTGATGTGGCTCCAGAGTCGTTACAGTTTATATGTCGTTAAGTT